ACCCCCCCCGCGGAGCAATAGTTTATTTAAAGTCTGTCTGGAACCTGATATGTGCAACAAAATATTGATTTCGATAATATCTATATGTCCACTTTCATCAAAAAAGGGGTGTGACACACCAAACAACATACATTTATTTATTTCATTCATCAAGATATCAGTTCCGTTAATGGGTCTATTAGCAGGATGTTGTACTTAAAAGGTACTTTACTGTATTTTCATAAGTTTATCAGGTTCTAAATAAACGTTAATAATTAGCAATTTGAAGAGATGGAACGCATGTATTACATTGCAAAAATTCCTCACTGATATGAACTGGTCAGCCATGGGAGTTATTGTGAAGTTGTGGGAGCTTTCAAGGAGATCACAACAATGGATATGTGTCACAAAGCAGTGGAATCAGGCGCACGTCAATTTTTGGACATATGAGGTTATTCGTATCACCTTAAAGCCTGTTCATTTGCCTTTCTATGGGTGAAAAAAAATACCCATCTATGTTGAATAGAAGTCAAGATATTAGCCATGGAATGAGGTCAGGGTCGCCGGGTTTCAGAGGTAAAATTAGCAAGAAAATGGCCGTCAAAGTTTAGTAATTTTTATAGCTTTAGAGTACTTGGAAATTGAAAATTTATATTTTTTGCGCCTTTAATCAATGTTTTTTAGTAAAATCCACACACAAATGTGTTTTTAAATGGATGTTAAAGGTGTTGAGCCAAAAAAAGAAAATTAGAAAAAAATTGCCCAACAGCCAGAAAAGTGCCAATTTTATCATTTTGACGAGCGCCAGGTTTCACCAAGATGACTCACAAATGCTCTAAACATGTATGAATTGAATTATGATTTTTAAAATATCGACTGAAAAGATGAAAGAGAGGCACAAGCAGCAGATAAATGGAAAAGAGACAGAAACCAATAAACAAAAATGTTTTAACAATTTCAACCTATACAATGATAAGGAAAAAAAACAACCAAAAAAAACCAAACCCATCTTAAAACACACCAAAAAATCAGCTATCAGGGAGGGGTGTACTAACTTCTCATCAAAAGCAAAGTCCTGTTTGAGGAAAATGGAGATGGCAGCCTCAACATGCCGAGTGTTGACAGGGAATGAGCGGAGCTGATTGGCCAAGAGGTAGAAACCGTCCAGTTTGATGAAGGCGTCCACCAGAGTAGCTGGCGCTCGGGACAAGTACGCTCCCAGCAGCTGGAGAAGGCAAATGTACGCAAAGTCATACTGTGATAAACATGCCCCAGATTTTCTTTTTTTTGTTCTTACTTGATAACATCAGAAATGAAAGAAAGCAATTGCAAATGAAACGACTATGAACAGTGGTCAGGTCCATTAAATGTGGTCATGATATCACTTCATTAACTTCATCAGGCCCCCCAACCTCCGCTTTCAGTCAATTAACTCTTTACGGACGTAGCGGACACATAATGTCCGATCTTCAGCAGACTAAAAGGCAATATTGCTTCACATTTCAAACCATCACTCACAAATCAGAAACACAAGTTTGCATATTTCATAACATGCATGCTGTTGCCTGCCTTTTAAAGTATCAGATAGGAAAACAGAGTTGAAGAATCTGTATGGATAACGAAGTTATGCCCCAAAACAAGTGTCTTCAAGCGCTGTTGAATTACCAAAACGTGCATCCTCAATGTGTTAATCATTTCTATAAAGACAGTTTTCTGGACATGCACACGCACACACGCACGCATGTACATACACACACCAACACATATGCAAATACATATGACTTTCTCTCTCTCAATATCTCTCCTATTATACAAACTATCACAAACCAGACACAGTGGTCTCTTTCTACCTTCATAACAGCCAATCGCATGTCAGCAGAAGGGTTCTTGGCCAAAACTAGCATGCTCTTGGGACTGACAACTTTGCTGAACACACTGTCCAGTGATGACTCAGGAAACTCCAGGATTAAGTGGGTCATGTACTCCAATAGGCCTGGAGATGGAGGGGAACGGTACAGAGGAAATCAAGTGAAACATCTATAACAGCTCAATTTTAAAAGGAAAAAAGTTTCAGACACCACCGGTCGAGGAGTTGAGGCAAAACTTCTAACAATCTTACATTGTCCTTGATTTGCTCATACCATTTTAAAGTGATACAACACAATGCAGAACATCACTCAATTTAAGCAGACCAAACACCTGCCCATAAGAAAGAACAACTTTATTAAGGTCAGAAAGGTTGACTCCGGTCCAAACTTTAAAACAGGCAGACAAAAAGAAAAGCTTTACTAATCCAAAAATCATGCAGTTTCATGGCCACAAGCATTTTGAAGCCATTGGGGGCAGATAAACAGTCATCTCATCACTGTCTAACTAACAGCAGTGAGACTTTGGGAAAAATAATTGGCAAGTTCTATTTTACAGATTTCGTCCGTTACAGAGCTGACTACAAATACCAATGCTATTGCAAAGCCATGATGACAAACAAATCAATCAGGAAAAAAGAGATGTGGAAAACAATCAAAATCCAATGAAAGAAGAAAAAAAATTGAATTTGTACTTACTGACACACAAGGTCATCAATCCCTGGTCTTGATCATCCATAGTCTCGGCAGATTCTTCGACAGCTTCAGGGGAAGCAACTGACCGCTGCGAACCTTCAATCATGGTCCCTTCTTCTTCCTCATCAATATCCGCTTTCAGAGTATCTTCAAATCTATTTTCTCCAGCTTTTTTATATGTGTCATCTTGCTTTTGCAGAGCGCGATCTTTCCCAGAATTATCATCTTTACCTAACAGAGACCCACTGTCGTTAGATGATTGAAAATCAAGACGTTTTCTCGGTGACGGACGGGAACTTCCTTCAGTGGAGACTTCCTCAGTAAAAACATCATTCCTTTCACTTTCCTCATATGACTGTCTACCTGGTTCATTCTTTAGTTCACTTTCAAAGTCCTCAGTCAGGCCAAGCTGATCCTTATCAGCGGCTCTTTTCTCAAACTCGGAACTACTGGTCAGTTCAGAAATACTGACAGCCGTTGTGTCTTGTACGTTATAGACCGCATTTTCCGCAGCTGTAGCCTCATCGTCGGCTTGAGAAGACTGAGACAGATTCAGAGCCTGGGCTTCAGACTCGGCATCTTTGACTCTCTCCTCCACATTGAGTCCAGTGATGGAGTTGGTAACTTGCAGCGGTGGGAACTGGAACTCTCCATCATCATCCTCCGACACTCCTGGGCTATCACTCGAGTCAGCTCCAGCCTGGAAGATCTGACGCGATGTAGGTGGCGCGGAGCAAGGTGGAATTATGTTATCCTTGTATCCCTCCACTGAAGAGAAAGAGGTAAGGAAAACTTTTTTATACTATTATGGGTTACATTTTTAAAACAAATGAGAAACACAAGAGGATTCGGCTTACTTTCAGGCTTCAGTGTCCTAATTGTATATTAACCTCGCTTTCAGTATCTCAAAATTAGATATCGATTCAGAATAAAAGGGCAGCAATTATTTTCCTAGAAGCTTGGCAAACACTTTCATTCTAAATGTGGAAATACAAACACATATGTAAACTTCGTTTACAGTCTCAGCAGCTTGGGCACAATTTTACAAATAAAAGTCTTTTCAAGATTCTGGCCAATTCTGCTAGGACCATGTTTATTCATGTATTGCAGGTATGGATGAATAAATGTATTTGTTTACACAGTCTTCATTGGAAAGTCCATTGGGCATTCAATAAACGGAAATACTCCCTATACATGTGGACCCCTGAAATCAAGGATTTACACTGAACCAACAGAAGATTAACACCGGGAAGAAGTTTTAATTCCTCACCAATATCACTCAGTGGACTGTTGTGACTGACTCTCTCACTCTCTGCCCTCTTGAGAGGGTTTCTAGGCTTTGTGTCTCGCATACTCACAGACCTTGGCTTGGAACCATCTGAAGACAAAAAACACAGAGCTTTAAAACATCTTTATTACGACTAAAAAGATCAAATAATAACAAAGTATGGCTGAAAAGAGAGAAGGATACTCTGTTTCTTTAATTTGAGCTACAGTAAAATGGCGAGTAGACTGTTAAGTTACACAAAATTTTAAAAATACTTTTTTCACAGATCCCCATCTATAAATTTAGGCTATGAATATATCAAATAATTCAAATATTACATCAGCATCCCATAATTCACAATATCACACCAAAACAAAATTTTTTACAAACATGCCTTTACTGGTAGACGTTTTACAGTGCACTATTTTTAGGCTACAGTTAACATGTCTTGCCCAAGGACACACTCACTGACCTCTAAACAAAACCATGTGCCTCTGAGAATGACTGACATTATTAGGAAGCCTAAGCTCAATAACCACTCAACCACCACAGCCCCGTATAAGGTCAACAATTTAATGGGAAGTGGGGCTTTTATGTGTTTCTGTCACCCAAATAAAAGTAATAAAACCTCTTCTACAGGAGCTGAAAAAGCAGTCAGACATGGAGGAAACTTGAGGGGTATGGGAGCTGGGGGGAGGAGTCCTTCAACCATTTGGTACCTGACACCATCGATATGATCTACTCCTTTAATGAATGATATAGATATACACACCCCACCACAACTTGAAATAGAATGCTCCGCGTGTAAAACTGATGAACCCGCTCGGGGCAGGGTGGACCAGAAGGAGGAAATCCATCACTGCCATGAGGAGGTGAAGGTCTGGTGGAGAGCCTAGTAAACTCTTGACCACATGAGCGGCTGACTGGCTGACCGGCACAGACAGAGATGGCTGGCCCTCTTGTATACGCTCCTGGGAATGGAATGAAAAATATATTTTACAAGAGAGTCGTTTCTTAAATAAATTGTTCTCCAAACATCATATTTTTTATGGTAACATCTAGGATTTTCTGATGATTGTTCTTTTTTAAATTAGTCCTTTGATTTGGAATTAACAGTAAAGGAATCTAAGACATGCACGCTCATTGTTTAAAATTGTTTTAATTCATCAGGGCATATCAATAAATCCATTGTGAGTGAGTGTGCATGTGAGGGAAACAAAGTTTATTCATGTATTGTAGCTACGAGGCTATTGAGGAATAAATCAGTTTGTTCATGTAATCTTTCCTGTGAAATGCATTAAGCATTCAAAAGGGTGGAAATACTCTCTATAAAAATACAAACCATTTCTATTTTGACTGTAAGCTAGCACAAAACGGCCAAAATTCATTGGTAACAGCATGGGATAACAGTAACGGGAAGATATAGAGCAAATCATATCAAAGCATCCACAAACCCCCAAAAGTCTTACCAGATAGATATTGAAGATCTTGCCAATGACACCACCCGCTCGCATCTGGCGCAGGTTGAAGTTGTGATGTGGGTGCTGGGGGCAGACCAGAGACTCCAGGGCCCCAAACAGCAGCCCTGTGACTCCCTCCCCGGCCCTGTTCCAGACCCGCCAGTCAAGCAGTAAGCGTGTCAGAAGTGTGATATCACGAATAACGCCTTCCGGATGATTCCGGAGCACCGGATGAGGGGAGCCAGGAATGGATTTGAACACAGAGTCAGTAGTAGTGGCATCTGTCAGAACCTGAAGCGACAAGAGACTTGCTATTCATATGTAAAGTACTGAGATCGAACAACTGAGATTCTGAAGGCAAAACAAAGATTTTGAAATGAAGGGGTTACAGACTGACAATTTCCAATCAAAGTTTGACACACCAGGTTTGGCAACACCATTGCTGCAGTTCTGTTGTCATTTTTACAAAGACTGCACTGTGACTGCCACATTTCACCATATTAAAATAATACAGACATGAAAAAGAAGCAGAAGGACCAGACCATACTAGAACAAGCACAGAATCACCTAATGTAGGTTGACGATGTGTTTCAATACTTTATTAAGAAAAATCAAAGCACATAGTAAAAGACTGATACAGAAAGAAATCTCAGTTCTTAATGTGATCTCTCTGTGCATGACTAAACCAGTAGCTAATAGCATCTGGTCGTTCTTGTGACCCAAGCATAAAATTTTACAGTCAGATAGACAGACAGATAGAAGACAGATAGACAGACAGACAGACAGACAGCGTACAGACAGATACAAACAAGCAGACATAGATAAAAATGTAGAACAGACGGGATGGACAGATAATATAACAGATAAATACCAAGCAAAACTGAAATGCATTACAATTTCAGCTGTCCCAGTCATACTCACTTTCAGAAGTTGATATCCAACAATGCTCTTGGAGCTGGTAAACACCTTGGCCAGCATGGCATAACCGTTGGTGTCTTCGAAGGCCAGGGCCAGGGATGGGAAGCGGTGGACCAGTTGAAACATGAGAAGGGTCACTTTGCTCTGCAGCATCTCAGCCTGGGAGCCGCTGGCCCCTTTGCACTCAGATTGTCGCTGGCTGTTCTCGTAAATCTGACCGCAAAGTGAAAGGGACAAAGACAATCTTTCTTCATGACACTGCCGGAATTATTACAGTATAACAACCATAAGAAATACTTCCTTTTAAAAGCGAATCTATCTCTCAGTCTCACCCACCCTCTCATTCTCTCACTCTCTCTCTCTCTATTTCTTTTCTCTTATCTCTTCACTTTTCCCCATCCCTCCACAATCTCCCTTTTTAAATGCCAAATTCATTAACTTCCATTGCAAGATGAACACAGTAAACCTTACTCCTGGCAATACTGATGAAAAAAAAGAAAGAAAAAAAAAATTAAATTAAATTGTTCAGCCTCATTAACATGTAGTAAGCACAATTATGGTCAGATTCATCTGAAACCACTCGGAACAACGATTTATGTTTTGAGTTCTGAGTAAAGAAAAGCATTCCACATGACATGGAAAAGGCAAGATAGAAAACACAAACAACAGAGGGAAAGAAAAAGAGTAGGACCTACAAAAGGTACTGTCAAGTCATATGCGTGACAAAGCTTATACAGAAATAAAATTCAAGGAGCAGAAAAGACATGAGCGTACGTTAACCGCTTAAATAAAACCAAAAGTCACACCTTTCAAAAACATGAGATCCATTAACAACTTACCTTTGCCACCAGAAAGAGGAAAGCCCCAATGCCCCCAGCCTGTTCTATTGCCTTCTCTAGGGAGTTGTTTTCCCTGACCTTGACCCTGCCTCGCATGCTGCAAGACAACAATCGCGGCTTTTGGGTCAAGAGATCCGACTGTAGACCTGCATGTGGGACGAGGCCAAGGTCATCCTGTGCTGTCATTGGCAAGACGAGGGGCATGACAAATGTGGAATAGACTGCTGGATCCGACACCCTGTACACCACGACTTGGCTGTCCTGGAGGTGGAAAAAGAGAGATAATGAGGGGGTGACGACTAAAGGAATATAATGATAAAAAGAAATATATAAAAGTCTTTATCATCAAATGCCACAGAGGGTCACATGATAAAGTGTGTATGATAATAATAATAATAGCAATAATAATAAAAATAATAATAATAATGAAGACATTTTCTACAGCTCCAACTCCTTCACAATGCGTGTACATGAACATGCCTACATGTGTCCTATTGATTCACACAAACAAGTAAGAAGGTATTCATACTACCACAGCACAATGATGTCTCCTTGTGTCACTCACCCGAGCTTTGTCCAAGTCCGGCAGTGGACTCAGGCCCACCAGGACGTCCCAGGAGAGATGCGTTACTCCCACCATGTGTTTCAGCATGGATGGTGTGTAGGAAGCACGCTGCTCACCTCCGTCACACTTGCCCAGGCCCTCGCAGTTCGGACCCAGGCAGTACAGATGGAACCAGAAGTCATCGCTCAAATTGGTCCCTGGAAGTAAATTAAAAAATATGATTTGAGTATGCTTGTTTAGCAGTTTTTTTATTTTTTCATCTCATCACACTGTAGAACAATTACCTGTACTGAGGAACAGTGCCAATAACCTATTAATTCAACTCCACTTTTAACACAAATAGCTTTCCTACATCCCCCCTCGAAAAACAAGAAAAGGCCTTGAATAATTCAGTGAATCATTATCTGGTTCAGTTAAAAGGAGATGAGGAAAGCTACTTAACAAAATCTGGCTAAGATGAACAAAGATACAATTCAAATAAACAGCTAGACGTATTGCCCTGCATAAAATGAAATTGATTGTGAACATTGTCCTTAACTTTAAGTTCTCAATTAGAGGAGTCAAAGCTTGCAACTCTCACTAGTTGTTCTCACTGTTCAATTAATAATGTCTAGATGATAAATTGTTTAATGTTCTTTGCCTCCATCAAAACAATTTTAAATATTTAGGAGGGGGGGCTACTTCTGCAAACATCCAAATTCAGCATCATCCCATCCCATTCTAAAGCTTGAACCCTATTCATCCCTATAAAAATTTAAGAGTCACAGTTTTTCAGCAAACAGGAAACCCATGGTGTAACTGAATCAATTGAAAAGATTCGAAAACTCCGTTTTTACCTCTGAAAACCCGCAGCGTAGCCAGCTTCCAGGTTCCTGTGTGTACCTTTGTGGCCCCGTGACGGGCATCGCCCACACACAAAAAGGGCCGCTGTGGATGCAGGTGTCGGCTCAGGCTGGCGGGGTGGTCCAAGATAAGCTCTTTTTTCAGCCATCCGTCCAGGATCACATTGAGCTGATGACAAGGACAAGAAAAGAATCACACTACTGTTATTCATCTCCTGTGAGGTATTTTGGTTCCAATGGTAGGTACATGCCTACATAATACCGTAATTCTTAAATAACATTAATGCTACATCAAACGTAATATGATGCAATACTGACAATTTTAGAAACACATTACTGATCATCATGCAAGCAAAATGCCAGTTTTTTTTTACCTTAGAAAGCCTGTTAGCCCAAGGATACCCTAAGTAACCATCCTTCTAAAAGCCATGTAATTGACCTGCATCAAATTATTTCTAAGCCATGACCCATTGACCTCTCAACTGCTACAGTCTCAAGACAAGAAGACATGATATTGTATGTAATGCTAGATGTTGCTTTTTCAAATTGAAGTCTATTGTCAGTTTGCATTTTAAAAAGTACACTATGTAGGGAGGCACAAAAACAACAGCAATAGTAAAAGTAGACAGAGCAAGTCACTCCAGAGGGCCCACAAACCATCCACTCGTGTAAAGGAAAACAATGTAATACATTGGAAGTGGTGAAAAATACATACAGTCAAACCTGTCCCAGACAACCACTCATTGTTGAGGAAAATAAACGGTCAGGTGGGTGTCTTGGACAGTGTCATTATAATAGTTTTAAAAAAGCAAGGGGAAGTTGGAAATGGTCATTTGTACAGTTGTCTTGGAGGTAGTTAGAGCAGGTTCAACTGTATATTGAAACTAATAGAAAATACATGTCTACGAAAAAAAGGCAATAATAGTGGAAAATCAGATCACAATAATAATTTATTTGTTGTCGATAAGCAGTCTTTTTAGTTTTGTCGATAAGCAGTCTTTTTATTAAGTTCAATTGCAGCAACATTTTAAGAAGGAACAGATCAAGATGTAAGAAACACTGAACAGAAGTCCAAGATCTGACAATCCCAAAGCACATTCCAGAGAACAGAAAAGTGAACATATTATGCACTGACCTTGCCCACAAAGGTGCTTCCATCCAACACATCCATGTAGGAGATGACCAGTAGATGCCACTCACCAGGGGGGATCAAGTGGTCAATCGTTATGTCCCGCAGAACCATCACCTCCGTCAGGCCGGTGGTCAGTCTAACAGAACAGACAGTAGAGACAATAATCAATAAGAAAATTGTTGGGTACTACTATAAGAAACACTCTTCCCTGAGAAAAGCATTTACTAGCATATGAGAAAAACAGATTTTATTTTTCTTTCCCTTAAGAAATACATTGACATAAAGAATCTATTTTCAAAAACAGACACCTATAAGCCCATGAAAGCACTATACGCACAGCTACTATCATTTAAAAAAAACAGACTTTATTTTTCTTTCACTAAGGAAATGCATAACAATAAAAAAATTTCCCAAAATTATACACCTTGGGCCCATGAAAGTATTGTCAATCCTCTTTCATTCTCTCCATCAGAACATGAGAAGAGCTAAGAATAGGGCAATCCAAATGTATGTTGACCTCATCCCTCATCGTCATCACTGCCTTTTTCACCCTATATCGGAAAATGGGCCACAAATAAACACTTTACACCTCTCCCTATCCTGAGCTAGCTTCTTGGTATTATTCCATGTCTTCCCACTTTTCCGTACATTATGTATGTTCACCGGATGAATGTATTTCCATGACAAACCCCACCACTAAAGCTAACAAAGTAAATAAAAAAGATTTCTCACACCATAATACTAAGTGACAATACCATGCCCTTCACGCCTCTGCACCACAAACTCATGAAAACTAAAGAAACAAGTTCTGTCCTTAATATAACTCCACTTCCTTAAAAAGGTAAAAAAATGTACCCATTCTTTTATTTGTTAACTCCAGTTGCCCTATATAGAGAGTAAAAAAAAACAAAACAGTTTTAGTTGATTTAAATGTTTGTATATTAACATCCACTTTAAACAGATCAAATGCACATCACAGGAATAGTAAAAGAAGACCACATATGAGCATTTATAAACTACCCTAAACAATCAGGTTCATACATTAAAAAAGTGAAGCGAAATAAACCAAGAACACTTACCTACAAACAAGCGAGGCTGTTTTTGGATGAATCCACACTTCAAACATTTTCTCCTTGTTGCCAATGGCAGCTACTAACAAACACTCACTCATCGGGAACTGTGCAGGTGTTGTGGAGAACTTCTCAAAGTTGTCAGAGTCAGAACGGGGCTTTCCACCTGCTTAAAGAAACAAACACCACAAAATAGTTGTAGTCTTCGAAATGCACTGATGTTGAGGCAATGCGATAACAACTACATTTTGCTCAAAATTCAACAGGGATGAAACCGGTTATGGAACACAGAACATCAAAGAAAAACTTGGCTGAATGGTGTTAAAGAGGTCCTTCAAAAGAGTAGCATATCTCCAGCACAGAAACCACCCATCCACATAGCCTTTGATTGAAAATTGCACCTCCCCTCGACAGCTGATGATTACAATGAGAAGGATAGAATTCTATCAGCAATTATCAAGTCCAAAATCTTGACCCAAAAACGAGCACAAATAAAACTGCTGGGTGGCTAAGGAAGAGAGAAAATTAAAAAGACAAAAAAGCAAAGGAAAGAAATAAAGCTGAGATGACACCCAAAAGTAAAAGATCAGTTTGGTGACCCCTGCCCTGAGACTAAAAACTGACCTCTGTCCTTTCCTGCGTGCTTGGGCCAGCTGGCTGAGGAATTCCCTGACTGACCACTGGAATAGTGGTGCTGGTCAAGGCACATCCACAGAGCTATAGTGAAGCCTGCAGGATATGGTGGCCAAGCAATGCCCGGGACCTCAAACTCGACAGCAGTGTGATGCCACACAGCCTGCTCCTGGGGAGAATCTGGGCTCTCATCTGAAGTAGAGGAGATAAATGCTTTTAGTTTTAGTAGAAGTTATACGACGCTCGCAACTGCATAAGGACATATGAGCACCAGAAGATTAGAGGTGTTACAAGAGAGTAACAAACATAAAAAAGAAAGAGGGGAGAATGTTTGATAGGAAAGAAGAAGCAAACCTCATCAGAGCACCTGCCAACCGAGACAAAAGCGAGTGGAGCAAAGAGTTAGAGATGAGAAATATAAGTGAAGACTACATGGTAAAAAAATGACAGTCAACCTTCGGTGATTTTGAGAAATCTTAATTCAAAACATATTAACCTAACGTCTCAAAGAAGAATGTAACATTTTCCCTGTTCACTATTACATAGTCACCGACATCATTTTTATCACCTAATAAAATGTTATGTTTAATTGTAATGTCATGACCCCCTCCCTCCCTCCCAGGGGTAGGAAGGTGGGGGTGGTGATTGGTGTTGGTGTTGATTGGGGGGGGGGGGGGTGCAAATTTAATGACAGTAGGAAAAAAATCAGATTGCTGTTTTTTCCCCAGTAGCCTTGAAATGGGTAATTGCCTTAAAACACATTTTTTTAATGACATAATTATTTTCCAAATCAATGCCTCCTTATAAGCTTGTAAAGTGCAAAAAGTGTGATGGAGCAGTAATGGTAATCAAGAAACATCACAAAAATAAAAGATTAAAAGACATTTGTGAGGCAACGTGGTGAAATCAGGTGCTCGTCAAAATAATGAATAAGAAGAAATTTGCATTTTTCCATCATCATCATCATCATCATCATCATCATCATCATCATCATCATCATCTATTTCTAAACAATTGTCCTTTTCGTTTTTTTCTCTCTTGATACATACCAATTACAACCATGTTGACATATTTCCTTCATAACTTACAAATATCTGGCATCAAATAGAGACAAGCAACAAACAAAAAAAAAACATTGAGACCAAATGAAAATAATCACCCGAGTCATCTGAACGTCCTGTGGCTTCCAAAGGCATCAGAGTCTTCACAGGGAAAATAGCAGAGAAGTTTGGGGTCACAGTGCTGTTTTCTACCACGGCCAACAAGCTGGACAGCAGAGAGTTCTGTCAAATGCCACCAGAAACATTTAAAGTAAAAATGAAAGTTCATCAGTATTTCAGCAAACAAAGGAATCGAATTTTCGATGAAAAATGACAAAATCTTTCAAAACAAAGGACAAAGCAACAATATCCTCTGTGATAAAAAAATCAAAACCAGGAAGAAATGAGTTGTTAAATAATAAATATTATGTCAATGAAACTGTCTTATTGCATTGCTAATACGCCATTTCATTCAAGAATGCAAGTGCAATCGACTTACAGCGCTAGTTACTGGTTAAATCCTCCATGCTTCTAAAAGACATTTCTCAGAATCCGTCAAAACTTTGGAATATTGCCACCTGACCACTTCAGAACTCCATTCCCTGAGCCTACCTCGAGACCAATCTCATGAAACTCACATCAGCCCCTACCAGCAGAATATACAACAAAAACTTCTTCCTCCCATCCTCTGCACATATCTTCTTGAAGAATTGAACTCCTGTCTTTTACAGCAACAGCGTAATGCCTGACCATTACACAAAAAAACAACAGTGTTAAAACATCTACCTTCCACAGTATGTGTGGTCCTGGATCACAATTCTGTTACTGAGTAGAGAGTACTGACTTAAAGCACTGACACATTAGCTATGAGCTGATTTTTAAAAGAGAGAAAGATTTGAGGGATGCAATGTGCTTACCGTAGTCTCCGTGTTGTCCTGGAATAGCCTCAGGAACTGGCGGAGTTCAGCAGCTGAGATTTCACTTTGGGCTATCACCTGAACCAGAGACAGGATGATCTCCTGAAGGGTGGATTCTGCAATTATCACAAAGACAAGCAATTATCAGGTGGACAAATTATTTGAAATTCGGTAACACCCCCCCCCCCCCCCCACACACACACACATACACACAAAAGAAAATAGAGGTGTTATATGGAAGCAAGCTGTAGTCTTGGATCCAACAGCATAAGGGGTACATTCGACCACGACCAAAAAAGGACAGTATGAAACAGCAGCCATCATTTTTAAAGAAACACCTCATTTTGCTCTCTCAACTGAGGATGTCAAAGCTTTATAACATTAGAGCATCAAAAAGTGAAAGCTTTGTTTGTTTAATGCCTCAAAATCAAAGACCGTAAGTAGCCACTTTTCATGACATATCAGTTGGGCTTGTTAACCCTATCCATACGCCCTAGGGTCATTTTGTACCCCCTGGGTTGTATTTTTTTCATTTTAGAATACTTCTAGTACGAAGATCTTTTTGAAACTTTCAGTATTTCTCAAAAAATCATTTTGACAGACTGCTATGCAAGGCGTATGGATCGGATTAACGAGTAAATTTCCTCTTTGGAAAGTGGTGGCACAGAGTTCCTGATGCCGTATGGATAGGATAGTAAAACACAATGTACGGATAGGGTTAAGCTGTAGTAGATTATGGCATGATAATGGTCACATTTCACCAAGCACAATATAGAATGATGTTACTGTAAAAAAACAAACAAGAAACACACTTCAAATAAATAATCAAAATAAAGATAGAATGAGTTTATAAATAACATATGCCATGTGACAGTCTCATTGTAATACTCCTATTCCATTTGTTCAATGTACATCAGCACAATTGACAAATAGTGTTAGTAGTGAACTATGCCCTCTATGTTTCACTGGAATGCGTTTTTTTTTTAAAGAAAAAACCCCTGAAAAATGACAAAAATTACCATCATAGCAGGATCACCTCAGAAAACACTTCACTGGGCCTAAAGGTGATGCTTCAGGAACAGCCCAAACCATTACATATAAAGCCACCCATTCTACTCACGTTTGCCATTGGCAGGGCAGTGGACGAGCACCTCTTGGAATCCATCCACAAGAACTTCCAGCAAATTTTCAGAGCAGACGGCCCGCACCGCCCGGCGGCTTGAGCGCAGCGTCTGCAGCAGTCGCAGCGCCACCGTGTGGAGGATGACTCCCCTTGAAGCGATGCGGTGACAAGCCACCATCAGCTCCACAAATAGGCGGAAGACGGCTGGAAAGCTTGAGCATTGGTTTGCATTTGGGGACACTTGAGACTGTTGCTGGAGGCTGTACTCGAGACCTGGACGACCAAAGTAGAAACAGTGGTAGTAGGCACGGATCCATCACGTTTTTTAAAGAGTTTTAGTATGAGTTTTACGGCACTTGCAGCACAATAAGGTCAAATAACTTAATAATATGAGTGCCAAAGAATAGAGGTGTTACAAGAGAGTAACAAACCAAAAAAGGAGGAGAGAAAAGGATGTTAGATGTTTGATAGGAAAGAAGAGGCAAACCACACCAGAGCACCCACCGACCATCCACTTATAACACATGATAGTGAGTTGAGATCAATTTGGAGATAATGTGAGGATACAAACATTGGTGGCAACAAGTGCTTAGAAATTATAATCTATGCAATGGCAACACCAGTTTTCTTAAAAGTTGATTACCATAGTCAAATAACAAATCCGTCAACACTACTTACACAAAACTTACTACCTATCCAAATATAATATCTCATCACTTATAAGTACCAATTAACAACCCACTTATCAACTCCAACCCAACCTCCTCATTGATTGATTGTCTAGTCAAAGGGGACAGAGCACCCCTCCACTCCTATCCCCTACATCTCCATCAACAAATTTGCCAATTGGAGAAAACAGAGAATCACATACTTCCTTTAACAACCACCAATTCCCCTTTGATCTTAGCCAAAAGGCCCAGAAGCCCAACCAATAATTCTTCTAGTAAAAGAGGACAGGCTCAGTCCTCAATACTTCTCTACTGACAAAATTGCCAATTGAAGAAAATAGAGTACAACGTACTTCCCAAAACAGGCCCGGAATTCCGGCCAACAAATCTTCCAGTAAAAGAGAACAGCCTCAATCCTCCTCCCCCCCCCCCAGCTCCCCTTTTCAACTGACCAGTTTTCCAGTCAAAGCCGATAGAGTACTCTGTGTCCCCCTCATAGCCCTGTTCTGTCATCACGACGTCCCCCTCCTCCTCCAGGCCCTGCTGCAGCAACTGGCGCACCTCGTCCTCATCCGCAATGTCCTCGCGCTCACGAATGTTCTGAAAAAGCAAAATTAAAATCTTCAGTATCACTATATCCGTTCCTGCAGAAATCTAGAACACAATTGTGTAATCATAATAACATGTTGTCTCCACCATGAAAAAATCCAATAAGTCACATCGGGTAAATTTTTCAGGAGAAGGAAAAAAGTGATTTACGAAACGGCCGTCTCACAGTTATCTGATTTACATACTGTTAAAAAAGTCAATTTTTTGTTATTTATTTGAATGTAAATTTTGAATCAGCCTATAAAACATGCTATGCACAAAACATTTCTCCAAGAAAAGCATAATTGTAAATTTTGAAAATTTTATCATGATGACGACGATATACAAACAGCAAACACATAACATGGTCATTCAATACAACTAAACACCCAAATCAAAAGCCGGTTACCACAAGACGATATCCCATATCCATCTCAGGATGAAATGTTTAATTTATCAGCTTCATTGTTAACACAAGAATCTTAGAACTTTTAATAATAATAACAAGGATAAAAATCTCTTATATCTTATCTTTTCTTATCTTATCAACCTACCAGCATGGAAAGCACCTGGGCGTAGGAGTATTCAAGGATAGATGGGCACCGAGGAAGTGCAACGTTGAGCAACATCTGGAATACAGCAGAGAGCTTGGACGCCTCCAGACGTATACAGCTTTGTAGCGCCGAGCTTAGACGAAGCCACAACTCCTCCTCCTGACCACGCTGAAAACATAATATGTATTTTTTTAAAAACATATATCATACAAATAAGTTATAAAAAATATTATACAATTTGTAAGTAAGAAAGCTGAGCAAATACACAACATACAGAAAGACAAGAATACACAGTGGAAATTGTCCAAGATGAGTACCCATTGACGAAGAGAAAAGTAGCTTTCTTAAATAGGTGGGCGTCTTGGACAGTGTCATTATAGTATTTAAAAAATGAAAGGGTGGGTCTTTCTCTTGTGAGAGAATGGCTAATTTAACACATTCTTCTGATAGAAAACAAAATATGTGACTCAGACCATTCTAGACATGCGGTCATGATTCAGAAAGGAAGAACAAAAGACAAGGGAACCACATAGCCACACTTGGGTTACTACAACTCATCATGAGGAAGGGAGGGACATTAACAACAACAAAAAAAGAATGAAAGAAAAAATGAAAATTACAAAAAACCTTTTCAGCAAAAAAAACATTTGACAAAGGAACATAAACCTCAGCTCCCCAAATTAAAATGAAAAAGTAAATGCCAGCAGTCTACTGACAGTCAGGACAGTCAGGACAGTCAGGACAGCCAGGACAGTCAGGACAGTCAGGACAGTCAGGACAGTCAGGAAAGTCTCCTCAATGCCACAGTCCAAGGAAAAAAGTGACAGCACCAGTTTGACACTGATTTCAATGAGGACTGTCAACAGCAACGTAAATCAAATCGACGACTGCTCAGTGTATGACTCCATCATATGAATCTTTTCAAAACAGCTGAGTGTAACACTCAGCAGTCAAAATGCACATTATCTAATGATGCTACAAAACCACTTCAAATCCTGGCACATAAATGAGTAAGCTGTCTAGTCAAGTCTAACAAATACTCCACTACAATAAGACAGCAATCAGAAGTCAAAATCCGTCACCAGTACCACTGACCCGAGTAAGTGGTGACACATGAAGACTCCTCTCAACAACCCAAATTTAAGAACACTCCATTGGAGATTTGAACCAGAATCCTCTGCATTAGGCATGATGCTATCTGATCTATCATTTCAATGATAACAATATATAGTAATAGTATTAAACTGATGTTCCTTGAAAGAAGTTGAGTACAGGAGAAGCACATCCACATACACAGAGGGTGGTACAGAGCTACAGTGTTATGGCAGATCTTTCTTTAACTTTCCAGGCACAAATGCAATAAAATATCGGAAATAGGCAGCTATGAGTGCATAAACACGTAAAAAGACTTGACTGCGAGTGCGTTAATATGGCTTGAAACGAATGACTATGTGTAAATTGGCGTGTTGACATATCGTTAATATATGAAAACTGACTTTGGAGGTCAACCCCTACTGAAAGTAAACAACAGAATGAATCTGAGGTTATATGTGTAAAAGTAACAGGTGTCCTCAAGGTAACAATTACTATGCAAGCCAAGGGCAAATAGGTTAATGGGGAAAGTAATAAGAATAATTATTTACCTGCTGAGTAATTGCAAACAAAAAACCCATCAATAACAAGACAGGAAAGAAAAAGGAGAGAAGTCAAGAGAGACCAAAACATACTATGGCTACTTTATTACTAGGAGCTTAAAACAATTAACAATGAGCAGAATACCGCCAGCCAGTTGTGTTGAGAGACAAACTGGGTTGTTTAAAGTACAAAGTCATAATAGCCAAAACATCCTAGCCAAGTAGGAGGGACATGAAAACTTTAAAATCTTCCCCTTGACTTTGAGGATTCCCACCAGATTCATCTACTTCCTAGACCAACCCGATACCACCTAAAGCCTTCACAAAATTCATAAAGAATTAGCAAGTACTTAAAAACATGATGATAAGAGATAAAGAAGTCCCATGATTCCATACCTCAAAAATGGAAAACACACCAAAAGACCACAGCTAAAGATAGAAAGAAAAACATGTTGCCATCTTAATTTCACTAAAAGATAACACAATCTGAGTGTTAAGAGAAACCAAAATTACCACACAAAAAGAATGATCTTTAAATAATTAAGAGCACTATAACTTAAAAAGTCAACTTTCCCCGAATGGCACAGAACCCTCACCTTCTGCGAGGGCGCGATGGTGTGGCAGGAGAAACAGACCATCATCACAGCTTCGATAAACTCCAACTTGGCCTGGTGGTGAAATGACGCAGCGGAGGAGGCTTCCTCTCTCACTGTCACACCCCCAGCCCCATCACTCGGCGTTTTGTTGCTACTCCCACCAGAGCTGGAGCTTTGGTTACTACAGCCCTCTTTCCCAGGAGATGTGGCTACCGGTTCGGAAGGATTGCTGTTGCTGTTGCTGCTACTGGAGGTGGCATTTCCGGAGCTGCCGCTGCTGGCGGTGTTGCTGCTGCAGCTTTCAACATTCTCGGGGGGAGATGGGTTTGAGGAGGTGGAGTCGCTCAGTTCTCCGAGCAGGCTCAAGGCGAGGATGAGTGTTTCCTGTAGAGTGATCAGTAGTTGATGTAAGTTGTTAAGTCGTTCATGGTGAATCTTTGTATAATATAACAGTCACATGATTTCACAAGGAATAATTTCATTAGAGTATTAGAAGCATATTCAAAAAGTCATTTTCTGTTTTTGGATGTTGAATGTTGTAGAAAACTGAAACAATACTTATTAACACAAATTAATCCTTTTTGAACCACACTGAATGCGATTTTAAAACCAACTGCCAACAGTAACACAAAAAAGAAGTAGAAAAGCCGAAAACATAAGAGCAGCCACTGATCGTCCTCAACTTTCAAAAAGACTTTTTCTTCTTGTGGATGTTGAATGTCACTGGAGATTGTGAAGCAAATAAGAAAACAAATTAATCCTTTCCTCCTCAGTGAATGCATTTCAGAAACCAACAAGGTCAAACCGTTATCGATGCAAGCTGAGTTACCATCATTTGGCACAGACATGATATCATAATATGACATGATGACATGAATACATGCAATTGAGCTTAATTGTTGGTCCCAAGATTTTAACTTATTTAAAAAGTGACACAATCAAAATGACGAACATCAGTTATACTTTTATCTTAAACTTTCATGCATTTCTCCAGTGAATAATGGGGTCCACAGAAGCGAACAGGCAAAGAAAACAAAATGAGTCTCACGGTTCTATATCCCTAACCAGAAAGGAGGAAATAGCAAAGCTCAAAATTCAATTCATTTTTTAAAAACTCTGTGAGTTGTGAATGAACAACCACAAGAATATGAAAATCAGTCACAGCTATCATCACAAAATTTAATTCAAAGCTAGGTGGCCCAGTAACATTTACATTTCACAAAGGAAAGATTTGGACAGAAATACTGAAAAGAAATAAGAGCAGAAAACACAAGAGACAATATCACAGGCTTTGGGTAAGAGATATACACAGACCCACCATATTTGCGCAAAGCTATAGGAAAAGACCAGAAGACCAGGATAGTAAAAAAAAAAAAATTGTACAATTCTTAGACAAAAGCTCTCACAGACAAAAAAGACAAATACTGAAAATCAGGTCAACTTGAATGACCCTCTTACCTGAACAACATAAAGGCATGGGGATTCTCGGTAGCAGGCGCGGAACATGCGACTATTCATGCACAATTTGGCGCAAGTCTTCCACATGTCCAGCAACACAGGCAAACTCTCTGACATTCCACAGTATGGGCTCTGAAAAAGATCAGAGCTGTCTGAACCCGTTTTGAGTCGCAGTTCCTCTGTGTTGGGAGACACTGAGCTCTGGGAAGCGAAAGTATCCGTTTCTATCGGATGTGCCAAGTTTTCTCGCGACTCTAAAGGAGCAGGGTTAGTACTTGAGAGCATAGTTGGAGGACAATATGATTCTTTGGCTTGTTCTGCAAAAGAAGTTGAAATGAATTTGGAAGAATCTTTATTTTCTGCTTCTCCTTCTTGATTTTCGTGAGCCGCTGGGTCTGAGGAGCTCTCATTTTTTGTTCCGGAAACGCCAGCTTTTGACTGAGCGTCTTTGGAAGACTGGAGGCTTATTAGTTGCAGAGTAGCAGTAACTGTACAAGTCCTTTTGGCCAATGTGTCGATAAATGTTTGGATGACCCCACCTCCTTCATAAACAGATTTATGATGAGAAGAAGAACTGCCTCGCAACCGTCGCTCATCAATCATAACGAGAGCCTCGAAGACACTCATGACTGGAGCCCTCATCTGCTGGTATTCCAAAAGTCCGGTCAGTTTGGACAGTCCACCACGTGCCAGGAACATGGACATCACCTTGTCCACCTGAAGCACATACGGCAATGCGGACACACACAGCAGCATCACAGAACTGGACACTGATCCATCCCCATTAGTGTCTTCAGCTGAAGAGATTTCTGCCGGGGTCAATGACCCGCTGACCAGAACATTGTCACTAAGAGATTCCTGAGAGTTAAGCATGGTCATTGAGTCAAACATTGCTGGTGCCAACTCTGGCATATTTCCTGCTTTGTCTGAACCTTCTACACCTTCTCCTCCCTTCGCCTCCTGAAGAAGGGCTTCAGTCCTGTCCAGAATCACAGAAGCATCTTCTGAGACCATTCTAGAGTATTCTGGAAAATGCCCCGGCATCCGTACTTTCATATGTAGCACATGCAAGTACACTCCGAAAAAGAGTTCCTCCTTAATTTCACTGTTTCCCCGAATAGCAAGAGTCATAAGATGCTTCGCACAAGATAGAGCGATGTTCTCATCTCGGGCAATGATAATCTTCCTCAGAAGCCTCAAAGACTTCCAACGCTCCAAAAGTCTTTGTCTCCGGATCTCCTCAATGTCACAGCTAGAAAAACCAGAGTCCAGTGTTGTGGGAAAGCCTGCCAGAAGGGGGTTTGAACCCTCCAGATAACAGTGGGCACAACGGCTAGAGTCAGTCTGCGGCCCAGGAGGCGACTCTCCCGGGAGGGATTCTTTGCCCTTCTCCCACCCCTTGGTGTTGGTCGTGATGCCTGCAGCAGCTTTGGGGTGCTGGTTTTGGTTGTTTTCCTGAGCACCTTGAAACTGGTCGAGAAGTATCGATGTCAACGTGTCAAGTGCAAAGCTGCGCACTGCGGGAGAGAACTGCGGGAGCTGGGGCACGATAGCTGACACAACGCGCTCGGGTTGAAGGCAACAACAGACTCCAACAAGTCTCAGCGTTGACAGAAGCTGGATCTGACTGGCCTTGTATTTTGCTTCGGACACAGAATCGAGCAAAATCGTCGCAAGCTCCGACACCACACACTTGAGAGGTGGCGGAGTTTCTGACTGAGACCTCCTTGAGGCTGCTTGTGGCTGATCGTCACGCTGGCTCTGAGTGTTGCTCAGGCTGCGCTCAACATCATCTTCTTCTGTCTCATAGCCTTGGTTAATGTCGATGCTGTAATGGGGCACTCCCAGGATGTCATGGTGGTGGTCGAAATAAGATGTGTACTCGCAGTTACGATGACGCCGTTTAAGACACCTGACCGCATGGATGTAGTTGACCTTGACCCCTTTAAGAGCAGTGATCAACGAGCCAAAACAGCGAACAAAGTCAGTGCTCAGGTCCAGCACAAAAGCCACAGAGCTGGCTAGAACTGAGCCCGATCCTTGAGCAGAAGACTTTTTATTTGTTCCTCCTGGATCAGTGGGAAAACTTTGAGGATCATCAACAACCTTTCCCAGGAACTCACCACTTTCCTGTGGTGAACTTTCCATAGAAGACAAAACCTGTTGCTCCTCCATCGTTCTTCTGTCCTCATCATCATTTTTTGGGTAACCCACCTCCTCTCCCCCTACATCTACACTGAACGGAGACGGCACAAAATCTTTCTTCTCCGGGTCAACACCTGTGTGCAGCGTGGGTCGAGAACTGTCTACAGAAGACAGTATCTCCTGATCAAAGAGCTCACTGGACGATGGGCTCTTTTCCAAAAGGTGGGTTCTGTCTTCCAGGTACCCCATAAGGCGCTTGATCCGGAGTGTGATATCTGGTCGCATCAGTTTAACCGTTAGAAGATTAGCGTCACTGATGTAAGAAGGGTTGAAAGGCAGACTGGTGTATATGGCTTGCAGTAGCTGCAGCACACCACACACAGAGTCCATAGCAACACTGGCCTCCATGTTAGTTGATAAATCTAAGAGCTTTCCATTGCCGGGTGCAAAGGGTGCAGATGAAGTGGGGACGTTGTGATTCCCTTTGTTCTGAGGGCCAGGGATCAGAGTGTCCAGAATGTTTCTGATGAAATAAAAAGGAAACAAAAAGAGTCAACCAAAGAAAACACTCTTTCCTCCACTGAAAGTTACCAAAAGAAAACTGCTTCAAACATTTGATGAAGACTTAATCAGAGCAAAGATATCATGATATGTTGTTCTATCACTTTTACTCCATTCTGCTGTTGTACAGTTTGGCTTTCACCAGCCAAAGAAAATTTAGGGGGAGGGGGTGGGGGTGCGAGAAGGTTGTTAGTATGATTACCTTGTCATATCAGTATGAATATTTTTCTTCTGATGGCTTTTTACTATTTCTACAGAAGTGAGGAGGAACAAAGAAACAGTGAGACAGAGAGAGATAGAAACAGAGACAGAGAGACAGAAAGCAAAAGAGAGAGAGAGTGAGAGAGAGAGAGAGAGAGAGAGAGAGAGAGAGAGAGAGAGAGAGAGAGAGAGAGAGAGAGAGAGAGAGAGAGAGAGAGAGAGAGAGAGAGAGAGAGAGAATAGAGAGTGAGAAGAAGAGATATATGTTAGGTCAAACAGAAACATATCTATAATACTGATCATGGGAAGAAACAAGACAAGAAAAACAAACAAGCAGAAAGATGAACTTACATCTCTTGTGTGTGACAGTGAAGTGCCTAATCGCAACACTACAGAGAGACATAAGAGATAAAGACAGAGATAAAGAGAGAGAGAGATAGAAAGAGAGAGAGATAGAAAGAGAGAGAGAGAGAGTGAGAGAGAGAGAGAGAGAGAGAGAGAGAGAGAGAGAGAGAGAGAGAGATAGAAAGAGAGAGACATGGAGCAAGAGACGAAGAGAGAGAGAGAGAAATGGAGAGAGAAAGAGAGACAGAGATGGAAAGAGAGAGAGAAGAGAAAGAGCAGTCAGACAGTCACTTCAAACTCACATGTCCAGCAATGACTCTATGACTTTCAGGTTATTGAGGATGCGGACTCCACTCTGCTGAGTTGCAACAATAGACGACAAGGTCAGCAACGCTCTGACCAGCTGTTTCAGCACAACCATCCTGGTCACACCCTGCCACGGAACAGTATCTGCCTCCTCCTCGTCAAATGATGACCGCAATCCGTTTTCGGCATCAACCTCTCGGTCCGCCATAACCTCTTCCGTACTAGCGACATTTTCTGCATTGTGCTGGTTGGAAGCATCCCGCGTTGGAAGAGGCTGAGATTCCAGCCATTTTTCAGCTTTGCTGATACCACTGAGCTCTTCTCTAGACTGCTGTGGCTGCTGCTGAGGCATAGGCTGGCGAAACTGAGCTAAGAAATAGAGAAGATGAGGCAAGATGGAGGCTGACAGACCCCGCCCTGCACTGTTCTGACCTACATCCAGCTCGCCCAGTGTCTGAAGAAGCCTCAGGATAATCCTAGCCAGATGATAGGCAGTGATAAACCCTCCAGAATCCAGAACTTCTTTCACAGAGCCGATGTACTCATCGTCCGTGTCCGAGTCTTCATCACGAGCCTGAGCAGACCACATGTGAGTGCGGAGACCGCGTTTGAACCTCGGCTGCTTTGCACGTCGCTCCTCATGTCTGTTCGGTCCTACACTACCGCCACCATCACTCAGATTAGTGGATGTCGGTTCCTCATCTGAGTCAGACTTTGGAATGGACAAGATCCTGAGAAATTCAATGAAAACAGTAACAAAATTAAAAACTTGTATACTCAAATCACTGTGCCAACCCAAATGCATAGGTATATTTCTTAAAACAATGTGCTGTCAACTTGCAACACTGCAATATCTCCTACTTTGAATAAAATCACTCAGGGATCTGATGCTGTTCCAGGTCTCAGCACTTGTTTGTTTGCTGCAGATAAAACCTTATTTTCCATCATATCGCATAGCTGTCATTAATCTGATGAAAGCTTCCAACTTATAGGGACTCCCCTTTGGGAGAACAGTTTAGTCTCTTGTCCAAAGCCGTTTTATATCCTCACTTTATGTACTGACCTTTAAATCTTTTTTCCTGAAACATTATCTAATAATGTTTGAAGATAAGGTACCTGCTAAAGTGAAAGTGTAAGTGAAAGTTTCAATCCCGTTTTGCTTCCAATCAAAGGCTCACACGACATCACAAGAAATTGTTAAGACAACTTGTTCACTTCAAAATGCTATCTTCTTCTCCCTGGTTTACACGGTGTTGCATCCTCACAGGCACTCAAAACTCTGTCATTCACATATTTCAGTCAATGTCAGTTGTCCGAACAAATGAAAATAAGACTAGGTGAGAGTATTGGGCTGGCTAAAAACAACCCCAAAAAAGGCAAAACAATAACAGATAAGAGTACTGGCAATACCTTTTCGAAGGTGTGGATCTCGTTAATTTTCTCTTAGATTGAGATCCGTGTCTTGCTTTTCCCTCCCGTTTCTTCTCCTTCTTACGGCTGCACATTTGAGACGTGTTGCTTTCCACTCGACGAAGCTTGCGGCTCTGCAGACTCGGGCAGCCCAGGGGTTTCAATTTGGAGGACTTGTTGACCAGCTGGAAACACGAGCTCAGGGGTAGAGTGCTGTTGTATGTTTCTGAGAACAGAATAGACAACAAAGTAAATTATAGAGTTTTTTAAAAGTTTTAGTAAGAATTAAATGGCACTTGCAACAAAATTATGTCATATAAGTGTCAGTTTTTGTTTTATTAAGATTTTACAGCACTCGCAACTGCATAAGGTCATATGAGCGCCAAGGGGTGGATGTCAACAGGGTGGATGTCAACAGAGAAATTCAAACAGGGAATATATAAAAATAGTAAGGCTGCACTGTGGACTGATTCATTTAATACATCCCAGAAAGTTCAATAACTCTCACCATCAATAAGGTCCATGAACTTTTTGCTGTCTGCATTCTGCACTGAGTCTTGAACTCCTTGCGTCTGCCCTTCCGTAGAAGCGAGTGGTCGCCCACTCAGGTTTGGCAGTTGTCCCTCTGGCTCCCCAGTACCAGCAGGCTTCAAGTGAGAGCAGTAGGGCAGCAAGTTGAGGAGCACCTGGCACAGGTCATGCCTCTGGGTTACTCCCTGATAGGGGCAAACAGATGGGGGGGGGGGGGGTGATTATTGTAGGATGGAGTATTAGTTTTAGTCCGAGTCTTATGACAATTGCAACAAAAATAGGTCATATAATCATAAAGTGCTGAAGATTAAGCGTGTTAATACTAGAGAATAATATACAAAGAAAAGAAAAAGAGACAAAGACAAGAGATGTTTGATAGGAAAATAAGAGCAAACCACACCAGAGTTTTTTAGTTTTAGTAAGTGTTTTACAGCACTTGCAACACAATAAGGTCATTTAAGTGCCAAAGATAAGAGGTGTTACAAAGAAAGTAACAAACACAAAAGGAGGAGAGATAAGGGCGATAGATGTTTCATAGTAAAGAAGAAGCAAACCACACCAGAGCACAGGCAAACCACCCACTCCACACCAGAGTGACTGCCAACTACCTTTAAGAAGAAGAAGGTGATAGAGAACAGGAAAGTGAAAAAGCCAGACAAATATCATCAAAGATGAAGTAAAAGTGTGATTGGACCTCAGTTTGCCTCATTCGTTTGTGCAGAAGGAGAAAACAACGAACAAAAAGAAATTGTTCAAGTAAGCCCGATCATTCGACTCAAAGTTCTTTTTTCGTTCCAGTGGAAAGGGTGTCCTATCATTAGAAGACATAATCATAAAGACATTTTATCAGCAAGCTGTTCCACTGTTGTAAGTCCAAAAAGCTACAATTTTCAGGAGACAGAAAAAAAACTGTTCAATTCTTTTACCAATCATACTACTTCTTTACTTTACTTTTCCAATCCAGCGGCAATTTGGGTTCTAGCCCTTCGGTCTGTCGATATGGCAAAGAATAACCAATCATACTAAAATTATGTATCTTTTCTTGCTTATTTTTTTTACCCTTTAGAATTTGAATTTTGACCAAATGTTCATCGAACACACCAACCATTACAACATATTAAGAAACAGCAATAAAAAAAAATTGTTCAAACTTTCGGGCTTAGTACATCTCGACTGCTCAGTGTAAAACTTGGCAATTGCCACTTTGAAAAGTGACGTATGACAGCGAGTGACCATTTACCTTAACCCCAACTCTGTCAATTGTGTAGAGCAGCCTCCAGCCGGAGCCTCTGAGCATGTAGTCTTCCAGCGCCCTAGTGGCCTCCTCCTCACCCAAGTGGCGGGTGATAGCGTCCACATTGCGCAGGAACTCCTGACTCAGTTCATTACCCACATTACGCATCTCCCTGCCGAGAGCAGAAAAAAGAGAGAATCAAACACAAGTAAGGTCGAACCTGTTACAACAGCCACTAGTCTAAGACAACCACCTTTAAAAAAAACCCAACCACTTCCAACTTTATCCCTTGCATTATTTTTTTACATTATAATGGCACTATGAAAGACATCCACCTGTCTAAGACAGTCACTCTTCTCCTCAACAGTGGGTGGCCGTCTCAGACAATTCTTTTTTTTTCAGTCGAAGTTTTACGTCGTTTGCAACTGCATAAGGTCATATGAGCACTAGATAGAAGATTAGAGGTGTTACAAGGGAGTAACAAACATAAAAAAGAAGAAGGGGAGATGAGGACGATAGATGTTTCATAGGAAAGAAGAAGCAAACCACACCAGAGCACCCGCCAACCACCCACTTAGACAATTCTGATGCTGGTAACTTAAGTCAAACCTGCACCAACTACCACCTGTCCAAGACAACGAACTGCACAAACGACCACTTCCCACTTACCCCCTTGTGCTTTTATTTTTCTTTATCATTATCAACTTGTCCAAGAGAACCATCAGTCTAATATGACAACTTTACTCCTTGACAAAGGGTAACCGTCTTGGACAGCGTCGACAATACATCCTTTCTTATTGCATCCACAATAATCTGCACACTAACTGCCCTCTAGGAAGACATTCATCAACCATAAACCAGCCACAGAGGGCACTCTGAATGATAACTTCCACCTAAAAGGGAAATCTTTGTTAAACGAACTGGAAGAAGCCAGGCCTTTGGCTAAGAAATATACTAATTCACATCACTAACAGCATACATACCTGATTGTTAATTTTTAAGAGGGGGGGGTTCAGGCGGCATGATTAAGACCATATCATCAAGCCAAATTATGGGGTTTTGATAAAGTAGTATTACAAAAACTTGAGAGAATCTATTTTTGGGCTAAAAAGCAAACATAAAATCAGGCTCACTCACCCAATGGAAATGTTTCCTTTGTCTTCTGCACTGACATTGATGAAGTGGTGGAGAAACTGGTTCAGCACTTGGCGTCTTTGCTGTGACAAAAGTTTACGCTGAATTACAAAACAGAAACAGTGCTCCCCAGTGTTTGCATCATGCACATCACTTTCCCCCAGCATATCCACACAAGCTAATAATTCTTCACAGAAAGGCTTTGAAAAAAGATTAAACGAGTACATTTATACACCTAGATCTATTGCTTTAATAGTTATGATTTCAGATTGTACATTTTATTTACAAATTCTTATCAACCTAATCAATCCTGGGAAAAAATATTGGACTCTTTAGAGAACAGAACTTTTCAATTTTGTTCCGTAGACTGACACAAACATGTCTCTAATTCAAATGTGGCAGTAACTGTGACAAGGTGGGAAAAAAAAGGACAGAGATATTGTATATTGACCAAAGACTGATACTGAAAACAACAAGATGTGGGGGTACAACAGCTCCTAATGAACTTCTCTTCCCCTAAATTTACAATTATGTTTCAAGGCAATTTGAAAAATTAACAATACGTAACACATACTGCACTCCAGCTCATTTGAAAGGCATTTCAGGTAAAAAATGTGTCATGACTCAGTGGAATCAGGTGCGACAATTTTAGACACATCAGGTCTTAAAGACTACTCACTTGCCTTGCTTTTGATGAAAAAAAACCCCTATTATCTTGAAAAGAAGTCAAGATATTTGTGACTGAAGGAGGTGGGGGGGGGGGGGGTGTCATATGGTGTCTGAGGTGAAATTAGCAAGAAAATGGCTGTTAAAGTTTGCCTTTCAATACCTGAGACTCCTTGGAAACTAGAAATTTAATTCATTTTTTCTGTACCTTTGATCAAAGTTTTCCATTAAAATCCGAACAGAAATATGTTTTTAAATAGACACAAAAGGTGTTGAGGAAAAAAAAAACAGTAGAAAAAAATTGCCCTACTGGCAGAAAAATGTCGCTTTCTATTATTTCCTTATTTTGATGAGTGCCTGATATCAACACAATGCCATCCATATATATATTACTTTCGAGATCCAAAAAGTCTATAAATAGATGTGCTATCCTGTTCATAAACATGAAATGTAGTATCGCACATGGTTTATCTTGACAGTACAACTAAAACAAAAGAAAGGATGACGTCATAACTAGTCATGACGTATCCAGGCATAACATTTCACAGAGTTATCACAGATCGTGATAGCCTGCCAAACACTGATCATAGAGATATGGACTTAAAATTTACATGATGCCTTTTATCATTAGTACTTGAGCCACTTTCTGCCATGAAGTAGATGCTTTATACAAAAATGAGAGCTAGAGCTGAGAAATTTAGTTTTATGTATTGAAGTGTCTACGTACTCCCCGATTGGGGTCTACGTAGTCATGATGTCTAGGTGGACCCCAAAAATGTTGGATTGTGATTGGCTCGCTGAGCGAGCGGTAGTTTACATTGGTTACAGTGCTGCAAGGCTACTGATTATCTCGGGCGCTGTGTCAATCTAGTGTTACTATAATTTATTTATTTTAGCCCAGAGAGAGAGTATTTAATGAATAAACGTATCTAGATCTAGATCTAGAATCTAGTTCTAGATTTTGTTGTGCACCCAGCCAAGAATGTGCAGTTCGGAAAGTAGATGATCTAAATCTAGTGGTGGCCTGGTGGGCGAATGACCGAAGAGCGGAGGCACACTAGGCCTATCATGCAACTTGATTCACGGGTCTACTATCATAATTATCAACAGTAGGACTATTTGCTTCTGTAGGCCTGGAGTCTACTAGTTTCAGACGGCTTCTTTTTCGGTGCACGGTTTCGGCACTCCTGTACAACTGCGGTCCCGTTTGTTTACATGACAGCCATTGTGGGAGTGAATCTAGATCTAGATCTAGATCTAGAATCTAAATCTATACCGAACTGCACACTCTTGGCTGGGTGCACAACAAAATCTAGATCTAGATCTAGATACGTTTATTCAAAATCTAGATCTATATACGTTTATTCATTAAATATTCTCTCTCTCTCTCTCTCTCTCTCTCTCTCTCTCTCTCTCTCTCTCTCTCTCTCTCTCTCTCTCTCTCTCTCTCTCTCTCTCTCAGCTAAAATAAATTAATTATAGTAACACAAGATAAATCCAATTACTACCCGAGATGATCAGTAGGCTAAGTGTAGAATTCTGTGGGTAGGCCTAGCAGCCTTGCATTGTAACCAACGTAAACTACCGCTTGCTCAGGGAGCCAATCACAATCCAACATTTTTGGGGTCCACCTGGACACCATGACTACGTAGACCCCAATCGGGGAGTACGTAGACACTTCCTTTATGTATTAACGAGCACAGGGTTTGACAGTTAAAACAAGAAAAAGTAGAATGTAAAAAAATACCCACTGTCACTTCGACTGAAGTTAAGACATATTACTTCAAGCAAGAAAATTTAGATCGTATTATCATTATAGTCTCTGCCTTAGTAAAGCAACTGAGACAAAGAAAGACCCACTTTCCGGTCTAATATTTGACAAAGATTTATTTACAAAATACTTCTATGACATTCAGCCACCAACTCTATGTACATGCAAGCATCACAACTGAAACTATATTTCACTGTCTTCTCTTTTCACACTTGAAATTTAAAAGTCTTAAAAATGTTATTATAATAAAGCTGACTGACTAAATTTATAATTGATAATACTGGAACTAAAGACTAATTTTTATACTAATATTTGGCAAAACTAACCCTAAAACAAAGCCTTAAACTTAAAAGCAAAGTGTGGATATTCTGAAGGACAGTAAGTTACAACCATTACCCTTTCCAAGACAAAAGTCGTCTCACACAATGTCAAAAAATTTCAAAACAATCAATTATATTAAAATCTCTTAGAGTGCAATATCTTCTTTTATATCTTTTTTTTTTTTTTTTTTTTTACTGAAGATGTTTTTATACCTACATCAACACAATTTAGATCAGGGCCAACCTAAGCTGAGATGGACACAGCATTCAAACAGATCGACAGAGGTACTCAACAAAAATTCTACCCACTCAGGAATAGAACTCGGGTCCCCGGCGTGCTATGGCAAAGCGTTATAACTCTACACCACAGACTCCAGTGATAAAAAATTCAAAATGAAAATAAGCAATGACTTGGAAACAAGATTGCTTGGTTCCAAATCATCTAAAACATTAACCCTTCAGGCATGTTTAGTTTTAATAAAAATTTGCACTATTAACTGTAAGAGCCTTGCATCTTCAAATCAAAAGACGACATAGTGTAGCTCTATAATAAGCATCTCACCATTTTATGAGACTGGGGAAACCAAACTAACTAAAAGGGATAAAAGAGCAAAAACTTGGACAGTGCTTGAAAACAAGAGGAAAAGCACATTGACAAAGACAATAAATTATTTTACCTGTAAAGAAATGCAAAACAGACGGAAAAACAGAAAGATAGTAAAGAAAACAACAGCAAACTCACCTCACCCCCCCCCCCAAAAAAAAAACGTCTTCTACATGTGTATTCAAACATTTCAAAAAGAAAGGGATAGAAATGAGGAATTTTAGAACATAGGCAAAGATCATCAAACTTCAAGTCTTTTGAGAAACCACAGCAACTCTAGCAGATAGAAAATAGGCCCCAAAGAAATAAAAGAATGTGACAGATATGAGGAAGTTGAGGAGGGGTGTGACATATGAGTTGAAAGGATTCTTTACTGAGCTTCTGCCTGGCACGTTTGAGAATCGCTTCAACTAAGAGCCCCACCTTTCCAATGACCTATTTCATGAGATACAGAGCATTCCACTCATCAAAACAAATACAGTGTCTGATGACCTGGTCACCATCAGAAACATTCTTATCTCAAGCGTCTGCTGCAAACAGGTGCTCAAATGTCCACACCTACCGTCCGTACCACTCGCCGTAGTGGAAAAGCCAGATTAGGCCTACATTTATAGGTCTCCGAACTCAGTAGTGTTATTCCTGGGAGCTCAGGGGATTAATCTGAAGCCAGACTTAGATTGATACCCTTGTTCATATTTGTAAGAGGTTAATGTCCTACAGAGCACAGACACATCATTTCAAGAGTCTGTTCAGCCAGACAGAGCCCCAGGTCTATCGATCAGCATTAAAAAAAACTAACAAAAGAAACTCTCTCTCTCTCTCTCTCTCTCTCTCTCTCT